ATATGCATATATATATATGTATATATATATACATATACATATATATACACACGTACAGATATACACGCATACATATGTGCATTAAATATGCATTTACATATACTTGCATATATAGATAAGTCTACATGTGCACATATTTACGTCGATACATATAAAGATGCACATACATGTGCATTTTTTTAACTTTCGTACCTGCACACATATGCGTATACTGTATACATGCATGCATGTGCATATACACTTGCTCATACATGAGCATACATATACACATGTACACATACACATGCATCTGCATACATACACCACCATACACGTGCATGGTTGCAACTAGAATGCCGCCACAGTATTAGAAGGCGTCACAAGTGCAAAAGTGAAGGCGAAACACAGGACTTGTCCTTCGAGTGCTTCTGGCAAGCGCCTGTGCAGCGGAGTCCTAAGCCTCGCAGGTGGTGCAGGAAGCGGCCATGGACTGTTCGTGTTGGGTGCATCTGCAGCGCCCTCAGCACGGCATGCGCCCGGTTCTTTTGAATAAGAGTTGTCTTCAGCTTAACCAGCATGTCAACTGTGTCTTTCATCGGGATCGAGAATGGTGGTATCGATGATGATGGTGACGAGGGATGTTGGTGATGGTTCTGGTGATGATGATGATGGTGATGATGATGATGATGAATGATGAATGATGCACCATCGATGGTGGCCGTGACGCTTAAGAAGACCAGGCCGTGGGCTTGATTGCTTGCCTAGGATAGGCGACAACGCCTCTGCGGGCAACGTGAACCTAGTGTCGCCGTCGGGATCACGTCCTCAGGACCCCGCTCTTGAGCCCTTGCAACTTTCTGGGTACAGTCCAGTGCCAGTCCGGAGGGGCCGCTTCCACCGTCAGGACGTGCAGGTTCTGGCAAGCAAGCTGGGCCAGGTCGGCTCCGAGGGTCACACGACGGACTCTCTGCGCACTCCGCAGATAGGGCCCAGGGGGAACGGCGATAGTGACAGCGGGCAGTTTGCGATGCCTCCAGACTCTCCGGGTCTGGGATTTCGAATTTTTTCCAGCCTTGATCTTAGATCCCTCCGAGTTGGGAGGCGGCGCCCCGGAAGCTGCCGGCATCGCAGGCGGCCCTGAAGCTCAGTAGCCTGGAGGTTGGAAGCTCAGGAAGCGGCCACGGGGGCTTCCCAGAGATCGAGGTGTCTTGCGGAAGATGGGTGTCGTTTATAGGTGAGGAGACCGACGGGCCCTCTGAGGGCACAGACAGTACGCTCGAAAGTCAAGTCGAGGGTTTGCCGTGCAAGGGCATCCGATGCTTTCAGATTTCAGCGTGACGCAGCCTGCTCACTGCAAAACTCTCGAGACCAGACAATCCCAGGCGGTCAAGGGGTTCGCTTGTTGGGCTTGTGAGAATGCCAGAGTCTCCCGGCTCGGACCAGGCTATGACGGCCAGGCCTGACGACGGCCTGAAGCTGGCGGGTCAGCGTTGCCATGTGCAGGCTCGGATGCGCAACGCGAGCCTAAGCCGAAGTGCAAGCGGAGCAGAAGCCGTGCTAAGGGCTCTCACCGCTTCAAGGGCCTCATGCAAGCCTACAAGTGACCTTTGTTAAAAGGCCGTCAGTCTCTTACCGTCTCCATCTGCTGTTGAGGTACAGCAAGGAAGACGATGTCTGGGAGGCAGCAGTCGACGTGGCTGTGCAGCAGGTAGAAGACGAGGCCCATCACACCAGCTCGGGGGTGATCACAACAACAGGCTTGGGGGCTTGGGGGCCAAGTCGGAGCCTAGTTGCAGTAGTGCCAGGCCGACCTCTTGGACGTGAACCTGGATCTGCCGGACTTCGACAGCAAAGCTGCCATGGGTAAGTTTGTGAGGAGGTGTGCCGTGCACCCACAGGCTCCTCGGCGGCGCATGAATCGCATGGGATCCGCCTCGCGCCATGTCGCGCCTGTCTTTGCCAAGGTCTCCAAACTGCCTCTGATCATCAGCTCGATGAGCTGGGAAGTGATCGCAGAGGGACTGAAGAGCACGCAGGCGATGATGCGAGATGATGCTGCGCTGTGTTTTTTGAGCTTCGCCGTGCGACACAGGGGAAGTGCATTGTCAACGGCATCTCCATGGCCAGCAGCGAGGAAGAGTTCGTGCGGGTGGCAGCAGAGTGCAGGAGCACCAGACTGCTTTGACTCTACACAGCACTCGACACATGGAGCTGTGTGTTATTTTCCAGGCGCTTTGGAGCTGCGATTGTGGTGCTCGCGATGTCAAGAGTCGCTCTGACACGTTTCCTCAACTGGCAGCGGTGGCTTGTCGTTGAAACCGCAGGAGCTCGATCTGTTCAGTCTCGAATTTGCTTGGACAGGCAGATGGCGAGTTCCCGAACTATCAGGAGAAAGTCACCTCCTGCCAGCGCGCCTACCAGCTGCTCCGATCCAAGCTCGACTTCCCGCCGGAGGAGCCGCTGTGCTCGGTCTCCGGGTGTTGATGCGCTGGACTGCACAGATGCTGAAGCACAGGACATCATCTTTGACTGCCTCGTCACGCCTTTGGGTGCCTTTCTCATCGAAGCATCGAATCCATGCTTTCGTGGGTTTTGCGTGAAGCCGAGGTTCCCATGGCATCAGAGCTTCCCCGAAGGACTTCATCGATGCTGTGGCAGAGGTCAGGCGGACTTGCCCGGGTGTGAGCTTCATCGCCGGTGCCAGGGACTGAGAGTTTTGAAATTGTGCTGTGCACGCAGAAGCCGCTTTCTAGACATCCTCTTGTGAGGTCAGCAACCTGGGTGTTGCCTGCCGGAGTGCCGCAATGCTGCGCGAAGCCCTGGCCAGCACGCCGCGTCCTCGGCGTGCCGGGACTCTCCGACCGCAGACAGCGCTGGCCAGCTCTGCCGCAAGCTGCAGGTTCTTGCAGCAAGCCGTGCCTGTGGGCCTGAACTTGGCGCTCGTGGAGCTCGGCCGCCTGCCGCGCGTCGACAGCCTGGAGGACAGTGACTGTCGGGTCGCATATCGGTGCTGCAGATGCAAGCAATGAAAACCAGTGAAGCAGGAGCCGACCCGGAGCATGTGCATAGACGTGGTGACGAACCATGCGGTAGACGGCCAGCATATCTCCAGGCTCTGCTACTTGCAGCCAGTGCAGGAAGAGAAGGTGTGACTCGCACAGGTTCCTCAACTATGGGGCCTTCCTGTCTGGTGCGTCGGCTGCAGAGGCAGCGATGAGCAGCGCGAGCTGGACTCGCCTCAGCTGCGTCTTGCATGCAGGAAGCTCAGAAAGCGAAGGCGAAGGTGGTGAACACCTTGCAGCCAAAGCTCCGGCCTCGTTGAAGTCACCGGATCCTGTGTCTTGTGGTTTACAGTGATCTCAGGGAGAAGTCGGCTTTGGTGCCGGTGAAGCAGCGTGCCCCACAGCCTGCCAGACCCAGCCCGCAGTTTACCCATCCTGTGGAGATTCTCGTTCAGGCGCCTCATGGCCGGCGTACGGCACACTTTCAAGGAGCCAGTTGATGCTGCCAGGCAACGGGCACCGTCAGCGCGTCGGTCTTCCAGACCTTCGGGAGCAAGGCGCATGCGGCAGCCAACTTCCACAGGCTGGGCGGCTACAAGCATTTTGGAGATTTGTTGACTGGTTTGCGAGGAGGATAGGTGGGGGTGGTTGCTTTCGACTTGCGAGGCTCAGCACGGCCACGACCATCAACAAAACCGTGCATTTCTCCTCAATCTCGGTATACATGGGCCAAGGAGGATCAGGACCGGCTTGATAAGGCCCAAGCCTGGTCTCAATTCTGGAAGATGGTGAAATCGCTGAAGCAGTGAAGGACCTGGAACAGGCGCCAGCGGTTTGATGGACGGTATAGCTTTGTGGGAGAGGCCGTCCTGGATCCGCAGCTTCGTCAGACCTTGCACGAGGGTTGACAGCTGACAGATGCGGACAGGCATCAAGGCATCAATCAGTACTCAACCACCGTGCTCTGGGGTGCCATTGGAGAAATCGGTCTGCGAAAGGCGCGGGAATGTTTTTTTGACTCTTGGATCTGGAGCACACTTTTCTGAGGCCATCTACGGCTCTCGAGACGTCTTCGCGCAGTTCGACCTGGGACAGAAGCTCATCGGACCGGCCGACACCTCCTTCCTCGAGAAGCAGGCGCGAAGCTCGCGCGCTCGATGGGTGGGACCCTCCATGACTTGCGGTTGGAGTGAGACGCGACCGGGCCCTTGAGGTCTGCTGCAATCCCTTGACTTGGGACTTCGTTGGCCTGGCCTACCTGGACAACACCTGGCAGGACTCGCTGTCAGGCCGCCCCCTGACAGACTCAGCCTTCTGAGCTCCTCCTCTCAGACTCCAGTCGAAGGCCGGGGCGGCGGTGGCTTGTCGAGCCGCAAGACCTTCCTGGACAATTGAGCACCTCGGTCTCGGAAAGGGAAGCAACAGCAATTCTGAGACCGATTGGGTGACTGCCGAGGTGGAGGATGTGAGTTGCACGATGATCCATACTCATCAGCGGGCTGTGTCGGACCACTCTGAGCGCCGTTTCCACTCTTCCGTAGACCGAGGGAGCAGGTCCAACAGATGCAAGCCACAGCTTTCCGGACTGGTGCAGGACTACTGTCTGTAGCTCTAGAAGAACCCGAGCACCCCATGCTTCAGAAGCCATGCCTTAACGACACCGCGATTACGGTTTGGCAAGCTGCAATCGGACTCACATGGACTCACATGCTCCCTCCGTGACAGCTTTGAAAGCGCTGCTTTATGCCGTCCAAAAAGGCCGTTGCTTCGTCGCATCGCAAATGGTGCGCCCATGGCCCGTTTCCTTCTTCCTCTCAGTTTCCTTTGTTAGTTGTACACGCATAGCAGGTGGTGTAAAACGTAGCCAAAGATGCAGGTTTTTTTCGCAATGTCTGCTGTAAGCCTTCTTGTATTGCATTGCAGATCCAGAATTTCACCTGTGTGCATGCAACCTGCAGGAATTATCGATAAACAGGACTTGGACAAGGAGAGGTCAAAGTGCCTCAAACTGCTGAGTGAATGCAGCGCTGTCTTTGCTTGGCATCGCTGCTCTGCTCTGTTTCCATGGAGGTGCAGCGAGTTGGTACTGTAATCCGTTGCCGCTGTCCGAAACGGCTGCAAATTGGCTGCAGGTAATCTCCTTGGCTGATACGCCAGGCAACCGCATTGAGATCTCCGGCACAACTGACGCTTACGTTGCTTGGCATGTGCTTCAGATCCCTCGCCGCATTCGCTGGGGTCGCCGATCCACCCTCCAGGTGCTTTATTCATTGCTTGCCGCATTGCGCACACCGTGAGTGCCTGCGTTTGTTTAATTTCGCAACCGTGGGAGGATTGGAACTTGCCGCCCCGTTGCCTCGAGTGAACTTGGTGCACGTCTCAGAAGTAGAACGTGTGCTCAGATTGGTTTTGTCATGTGCATCGGGTCAGGATGTCATTTGTGTGCCACAAGCTGCTCCGCAAGCTGCCGCGGCATGGTTGCACTGGTGCCATTGATGACCAATTGTGGCGTTGTGGCATATTGAAAAGGTCTTGTGCGTTGTTCTGGCTGTGGCCAGGACATGCCTACGCCTACGATCCAAGTCTCGGAGGCAACGCCATTTGCTGCATTCCATGGTTGACTGTAGCTGTGCCTGTGTTTGCACGGCCAGGAACTGCCTGGTGAGCTCCAGACTGAAGAGGCGTTGTCAGTTGCTGCGTGCCATGGTTTGGGCGTTGCCTGGAACGTATCTGCTGGACCAGGACATCGATTGGGCAATCGCTGGCGAAGTAGCAAGTTCCGCGTGCTCCGTGCTCAGTCGGGACGAGAAGTAGCTTCCATGCACGTGCAATTTCGAGTTTCATCTGAAGCACGATTGTGAAGGTTGCTCCCTGTTCAATTTCTTCTGGCCGTTCAACACCTGAGCGCTTTGCGCAGCTGCAGCCTGCTGGCCTCCAAGAAGGCAGCACCCTCGATGCATCCACCGCGAAACACGTGCGCCGGATTCAGTTTCTGATTACCCCAGCTACATCGAGCTTTTTCACCCGCATTCGGGCTGTGCAACCTGGACATGGATTTGTGCGCTGCATCTTTGATGCCTCAAGCAAGGTGCATTGTGCATCCGATTTAAGTTCGAGTGCTGAAACTCATCCCTGATTACAGCTTTTGCCATGGCCATGACGCTGCAACAGAAGAAAGCCTTCCTGAAGTACTTGCAGGAGAAACGAAAGCAGCGCGAAGAGGACCGATGGCGACCAGCTTCGATTGGGATGTTGTCAAATGCATTTGATGTCCTGATCGACAGGCGCGGCGGCAACAGGTCGGACGGGATGGTTTGAGTAAAGCCTTTTCCAGTTGCTTCGGATCGGCACTTAAAGTGCCAGGTGCAGGCTGCTTGCAGCCTTATCCAATCCTGGGCCGCAACCTCGAAAGTCAGCAGCTGTTCCAACCTGCGTCCAGAGCAAACCGGTGATGTCTTCGTGCAAAAGCTCCCAGGTCACGGATGCATCAAACTATTGCACGTGTGGATGGTACAGCTTTTGCTGTGATCCGGTGCAACTCTCAGATTTCTGTTGATTACTTTATGATGGAGTAGTCGCTTTGCGCAGGATAAACGCTGTCCAAGGCAACTCATGTGCACGATGATGACGTGGTGGTGCCCTGAGGCTGGCCGTGATTCTTTAATCCATCGCTTTCGTTGCAATTTGGACTCCCCGCTTGTACAACTTTGACTTTAACGGTTTGGCGGCGCCAGCATTCGGTTCGTCGCAAGACAGTAAAGATCCTTATCTCTTTTTGAAAAACTTTTGTGTGCGATTGTACACCGATGTGGCAGTGCGAAGCCAGTGCTGAAACTCGCGACAGAAGCCTCCTTTCGCTAGGAGTGCCTGAAGCACGGCGCGGCCGTGGTCGGGATGGCCATCAGCGAAGAGGGTCGCTGCATCACCTCCAAGGATCCTTTTTACTCGCGGATGGTGATGTTGAAGACCGCAGAGATCCCCCTGCTTGTAACATCAGGACAAGGTGGCTGCCCTGCAGAAGAGCTACCGCCTTCTGCGGCAGAACTTGGACTTCCCTCCCAAGGAGAGATGGAGATCAAAAGCCCTTCAGCGAGTAGAAGAAGCAGACCCAACGGGCCTACAGGCCTGTTCCATCCCCTTCTCCAGGACATCATCTTGGATTGCCACCTCCAGAGCTTGCGACTCGACGCGCATCCTGCAGCGCCGCGGACCGAAGAGCTCCTCCATCAAATCTGCATCGTCTTGAGCTCACGGTGTGATCTCGGCCATCGCAGAGGTCAGGCGTACCTGCCCGCATGCCACATGCCAGCGTGGTTGCACACCATCTTCCTTCAGCATGCCATTCTGAAAGGACCGGGGGCAAGGGGCTTGAAGGGGCAAGACCGTCAGGTTCAATGCCCATGCAGGGTTCTGTGGAGAGGCGTCAACGTGGCCCTGGTCGACGCCGGCAGCCTCCCACTGTACACAAGGAGGCGCGGCAGCGCTGCGAAGACGCGGCTGGAGCCTGGGCTGCTAGATTAGTAAGTCAACGGAAAGGCGGGATCTGGACGTCGAAAGACGGAAGAACTCGCATCTTGCCGAGGTGATCCTGAACAGCGGCAAGGTTTTTGCCGTCCTCAAGCGCTTCATGGAAGCGACGCCACCGTGTGCCTGCTCCAGGCTGGAGCGCCCTTGTAACCAGGTTTCGTTCGCATCTCAGAAGGGCACCCCCCCTGGCAGGTGCTCGGTGTTCGGGCTCTGGTGAAAGACGATGCAGACATAATCAGGACTCAAGAAGACTTCCCTCAAGAATATATGGGGTCTTCCTGTTCGGTGCGTCGGCTGCGGATGCCGAGATGAGCAGGGCGAGCTGGACTCACCTCAGCTGCATCTTGCATGCAGGAAGCTCAGAAAGCGAAAGCGAAGGTGGTGAACGCCTTGCAGCCAAAGCTCCTGCCTCGTTGAAGTCACGGGATCCTACTGGTATGTCTCGTGGTTCTCAGTGACCTCAGGGAGAAGGCGGCTTCAGTGCTGGTGAAGCAGCGTCCTCCACGTCCTCCACAACCTGCCAGACCCAGAGCCCGCAGCTTACCCATGCTGTGGAGATTCTGGCACAAGCGTCGATTTCTCGAACACTGGGCTTGCCGTGACGTGGGGGGCCCATGAACGGTGGGTGCTGTCTTATTGTCCGCTCAGTTTGCTTCATGGGAGCTAGTCTGTTGTCGCCTTCGTTCATCTTCGTTGCCTATAAAGCAAGCTGCTGAAGTGCATGCTTCCTTTGCAGCTCATGCCATGTGTACATGTCCTTTTTCCTTTTGCTCGTAGGCCAAGCACAGTAGGTCTTGAGCAATGCATTTTAAGCACATCTGTACATTCATAGTTGTAGGTGCCAAGCCCTCGCAAGGTAGCACAGACTTCACCTGTCCTTTCTTGTTCGCTTGCGTGTAAAATCTCCGCGTACTGAGTGAGCCATGGCGGGTTCTGGGGAGTATGGGACAAGGGAATTAGGTACTCCACTTGTGTCTACCTCTCAGCCTGCTGGTTCGCTCCAGCAGGTTATGAGCCCAACGCTTGGGCAGGGCTATGGCACCACAGCACAGCAGCCATCCCCACCTCCCGGGAGGGATGGTATGCCAAATGTGCCAGGTTCAACGCCGGCACTTGTACATGGCCAAACCTGTGGCTGCGGGAGGGGCATTTGGAGGCATAGACCAGACTGGGGTTTGCGCAGACTCAGGGGGAATGCCACAGGTGTCGACCGCCACTGAAGGCGGTGATGAGGTACAGATGGTTGTGCCGATACCGGGCAATGTTGCGCCGGGCGGGAGCCCAGGGCTAGAGGCCAGCACTGGCATGTTAGGTACCGCGACTGGTGACGCAGAGCCAGGGGGTAGAGTAGTCGCTGGTGCTTCCACGGAGGGGTTTGTGACCCCACGATCGCAACAGGGATTGCCAACCATAGCTGAGATGGTTGAAGGATTCCCTACTTCAGGGCTCCAGCTCATGACGAAGGTTGGGGATTTTTTCCGTGTTGCGCGCACTGAGGTGGTGCAGGTACCCGCAGTGTTGCAAGGCACACACGCCACACCACCACGAACAACAACATCACATACCCGTGATAGTCCGAGCGGTGCTTCAGGGCCCATTGCCTTGGGAGAGGGGAGTTTGGGTTCTCATACGAGTTGGGAGCGCATGCTACGCCAACATCCTTTGCACCGCCTCCCGGAAGGGATGGCCCTTTGTTGAGCGCGGACATGTTGCAGCGCATGCAAGCTTTAGAACAAAGGGCTCCTTTATTGTACGCGGGTATGCCCGAGAGGCCCCAATCAAGAACAGATTCATCGTTTTTACCTCAAGAAGCCATTCAAGCTGAGGTTGCAAGGCAGTTAGCGGGGTTTGCTCAACTGGCGCAGGCTCAGGACCTAGAAATACAGAGGATGCGGAGGCAACTTGAAGAGGCAGCCCAAAGGGAACAAGCTCTCAGGGAACAGGTAAGGAGAGACTTGGCAGCGACGAGTAGTGCCCCAATGGCTCCAACGACCCCCCTGCTGAGGTTCCCAGGCCACCCCTTCAGGATGCACAGGTGCGCACTCCAATCACGTATCAGGTCCATGATGCTGCAGCGCAGGCGGTTGAGGCTTTGAGAGCGCCCGCCCAAACAGCAGCAGCAGCAACTTCAGGGTTATGGTCTAACTTTTGGTCGGGGTTGCAAGGTTCCCAAAGGTTACCTAGCAATGCGACGCCACCCGGAAGGGTTGGGCAGCCCAGCAGTGCAACAGTCGGTGTGCAAGGGGATTCTGCCTCTTCTGGCCCAGACCCCCATTCTCGAGCCGAAAACCTGGGTCTGGGCGAGATCAGGGCTTCGGGCTCTGGTTTCCAGTCAGCTGCTGCCGTAAGTGCCCCAATTCCACAGGCATCAGCAGCTCAGGCCAGCACGACTCCAGTAGCAGCCAGTGTGGCGCCGGGGGGAACCCAAGGCCCTCCCACATCAGGTCACAACGTGCTTGATGCTGTATTGTTGGGTGTGCAGCAGCTGCAAACTTTGCAAGCCCAGCACCTTAGCAGTAGCAAGAAGGAGGATGCCCCAGAAACGGTGAAAACGGGCATCACAACTTTTCCCAAACTAGCCCCACCAGATCCAGCTGGTTGCAGCTCATTGCGGGTTTGATGAGTGACTTTTCGGACTCTTCTCAACTATGGTGGGCAGGGGTAGTCCAGGTAAGCAAAGATGCGTACGATAAGTGGGTCGTCGCATCCCCCATTGAGCGCTTAACGCTTGAGCTTGACGAGAGGCCAGATCGAGCTTACCGAAGGCAAGTGGGGAAGAGTGAATGCACGTGCCTGCGCGATGCTTTTGGATGCACTGGACCCCACAGTGAAATCCGATATCATTGCTCGTAAGGCGAATCAAGCTGCTTCGCAAATCCTGTTTAGGCTGTACACGACCTACCAGCCCGGGGGAATAGGGGAACGCAACCTGGTGTTGAGCAACTTGCAAAATCCCCATGTGGTGCAGGATGCAGCCTCAGGTGTGTCAGCGTTGAGGGCATGGGGACGGTGGTATCAAAGGTGCATAGACTTTGGTATGAGTTTGCCGGACCCAATGGTGTTGGTGGGAGGCCCAACCTCAATGACAAAGCCCGTCATCTCTAAGGAACCGGAGGTTTCATGGCGAACCGAGATGGTTAAAAGTGCACTGCAATTGCACGGTCGACCCTGGAAGAGGCGGTCAAATCCTACCACAAACATTTGTTGGCCGAGTTTGAGACTTTGGCTGGAGTTCAGGTTGCCAAAAAGGGTGGATCAGGTCACCTTGCATTGAAGGCAGCTGGTGTTGCAGGGGATAAGTCCGGGGGAAAGGGGAGTGGAGCCAAAGGTGGAGGGACTGGCAACACATGCAAGTATTTCCTTCCGCCGACGGGGTGTAGGTTTGGGTCCAAGTGCAAGAGCCAACACTCCATGAACGAGTTGTCTAGGGCGGAACGGTTTAAGAAGTGCTTGAACTGTGGTTCCGAGGAGCATCGTGCTAAGGATTGCAAGGCAGGTAAGGCGGAACCCAAACCACCAGTTCAGGAACCGTCCGTGCAGGCAGCTTCCACATCCTCAGGCCAACCCGTTGTCCAAGCCACCCCAGTGCTCAACATGGACACCTTCATGCAACAGGCAGTCCAGGCCTTAAGGCAGTTGGAGGCCCAACCACCGCGCAGTGAGGCTGCGCCACATGCCCAGTCGTCTCAACCTCAGCCGGAAGGCTTGAGTACTGCATCGCAGCAGCCCTCAGTGCCACCGCCATCGGCTGTGCCTGAGTCCTCGCCACCCATTCCTTCGGTGAAGAGGCTCACCATTCGATCAGTCATGCCCTCAAGTTGTTTCCCGGTTTCGGGCCTCCCAAACCGGGACTTTCCGAATCCCCATCCAGCCATTGAGCCCACGGTGGAGCCATCACTCGTTGCATCCCAACCACCTCTCCTTGGCTATGCCCTTCTCGATTCTGGTGCCACTCACCCCATGCGGCAAACATCATCTGAGGAGGAGTGGGAGGCCGCAGAGGAGGTGCAAGTGAGTTTAGCCGGCGATCAAACCACCGTCATGCGTTTGACACGCGCGGGTACTCTCCTACTGCCACCCGGAAGGGACGGCCTTGTGCAACCAATTGTCCCCATGGGTGCTATCATAGAGCAGTTGGGGGGGATGCCAATCAAAAAAAAACTTTTTTTCAATCAAAAAAAACTTTTTTTCAATCAAAAAAAAACTTTTTTCCAATCAAAAAAAAACTTTCCCTTATTGAAGGAGGCGCGACAGGAAGGAAGGAAGGAAGGAAGGAGGGAAGGCAGGAAGGAAGGAAGGAAGCAAGGAAGGCGGGGAGAAAGGGCGAGGAAGGAAGGAAGGAAGGAAGAAAGCAAGGAAGGCAGGAAGCAAGGAAGGAAGCAAGGCAGCAAGGAAGGAAGGCAGGCAGGCAGGCAGACAGAGGGAAAGCAGGAAGGAAGGAAGAAGGGAAGGAATGAAGGCAGGAAGCAAGGAAGGAAGCAAGGCAGCAAGGAAGGAAGGCAGGCAGGCAGACAGGAAGGAAGGCAGGAAGGAAGGTACAACAACAACAACAACAACAACTACTACTACTACTACTACGGCTGATAGACAAAATCCTGCATTACCCTAAGGACCCTACACTATGGGAATTATGGTATATTCCTTATTATGGGTAATGCAGGATTTTGTCCATCCACCGTAGTACTACTACTACGACGGCTACTACTACGACGACGACTACTACTACTACTCCTCCTCCTACTACTACTAATACTATTAGTACTAGTACTACTCCTACTACTACTACTACTATTACTGCTACTGCTACTACTACTACTGCTACTACTACTACTACTATTACTACTACTGCTACTACTACTACTACTACTACTACTACTACTACTACTACTACTACTACTACTGCTACTGCTACTGCTACTACTATTGCTATTACTACCACTATTACTATTACTATTAGTATTACTAATACAATTAGTATTACTATTACTATTACTATTACTATTACTATTACTATTACTATTACTATGACTATGACTATGACTATGACTATTACTATTACTATTACTATTACTATTACTATTACTATTACTACTACTACTACTACTACTACTACTGCTGCTACTACTACTACTGCTACTACTACTACTACTACTACTACTACACATGGAGAAAGTTTTTTTTTGATTGGAAAAAAGTTTTTTTTGATTGGTGAAAAAGTTTTTTTTGATTTTCGCTGAAAGTTTTTTTTGATTGAAAAAAAGTTTTTTTTTTGATGGCTTTCCCGGCAGTTGGGGTACAAGCTAGTTTGGTCCGCCGGTAGTTGCAAGCTTTATCCTCCCGATGGTAAGTCGTTGAGGCTTAGGGTCAAAAACGGTTGCCCGGAATTGGTTGAGAGCCAGGCCCTCACGTTGATATCACGGTTGGAGGAGCACAAAATGCAACAGGTTGAGGAGCTCAGGCGAAGGACGGATGAGGGGAAGGATCGCATCAGCCAAGCGAAAATCGCGATGCAGCGCACATGGTGGGATCATTTGGTTGAGCATGTGAGCTCGTCAGCGCCAGCAGCGGGCCACATGGCAGTATTCACGGCGCCATTCTTTCAGGATGTGCCCGATCGTGCATTGTCAGGCCTACTCCCATCGGGAGATGTGGACTCCAAGACTTAGTGGAAAGCTCTTGAAGAAGGTATGCCAAACCTCAACCGGCGAAGGAGGAAGGCACTTCATCGAGCATCCAATTGGGTTGTTCACTTGTTTGCGGGCCCTGGCTCGCACAAGGCTTTCAAACGATTGGAGTCGCAGGATACATTTGTTGTTGAGCTTGACATTTGCCGCTCAAGGAGCCAAGATCTTGACCATGATCCGCTTTGGACGCTTCTTGCTAAGGTTGCAAAGTTGGGACGAGTTGCGGCGGTCATTCGGTCATTGGAGGTCCACCAACCCGCACGTGGTCCATGTCAGGGCACCGCGCCGATGGACCACATCCACTCCGCTCGCCCACTGAACCGTTTGGCCTGAGCACTCTCACCTCTGACGAGCGTGATCTCGTTGATCGTGATACGGGTTTGTATGCTCGTATGTTGTGGTTGCATGCACTTTCCACCGCCGGGAGGCGTGTGCACCCAAACCCATCGGATGGAACATCCATGGTGGCATTCATGTTGGAGCAACCGTCGGTTGAACACCAAATGGCTTCAAGCCATTCTGCTGTGGGTAGCGCCCCGTCGTTTTGGAATACCGCGCTGTGGCAAGCTTACGCTGAAGAGGCTGGTTTGTTTGAGGTGCATTTCCGTCAAGGTCCGTTGGGGCACGCGGGCGATAAACCCACAACTGTTGGCACAAACTTGCCCGACCTTAGAGATTTGCAAGCGTTGCAGGGTGGTGTCGCAGGTTTGTTGTAGCGCCGACAGCCGTGTGTCTCCAGTGTGGGCGCCGGGGTTTGTGCAAGCCATCGTGTACGCACTCCAACGTTGGCCATGTTACCGCCTCATGAAATTCACCCGAGCGGATTGGGAACAGCATGTTGCGAACAATCACGTGCCGTACCGCCGTGATTGTGCAGTTTGCGTGCACGGTGCCGGAAACGGCCGCCGCCACCACGGTATAGTTCACCCGGATGTGTATTGCATGTCAGCCGACATTGCGGGGCCCATTCGTGTGAAGGGCAAAGACCCAGAAAGCCGCAACCACCGACCAGCCACGTTCAAGTACTTCCTCGCTGTGTTCCCACGGCTCAAAGGAGTGAAGGAGAAGTCAGACCCCAGCCAAACCGAGGGGTTTGATGATGCAGCACTCCTCCCGGGAGGGACGGATGACCTTGCAGATGAGGCCTTTCCCGCAGCAGAAGGCCCCCCGCGCGAGGATTACGAGGACTCCCTCTACGAGCCAAGTTTAGCGGAAGAAGAGGAGGAGGCGGAAGGTGAAGGAGTTGAAGGGCCTAGGGAGTTTGCAGCCAAAGTTGCCGAGGAGCATCCCTGGGAGTCAGCCAGGTGTGAACTCGAAACACCGCCTGACATGGCGAGGCTGGTGTTTGCAGTGCCACTTCACACAAACATGGGTGATGATATCCTAAATGCTGTCCAACAGGTGTAAATTTCCCTAACGTCCCTAAACCTCCCCGTGCTTCGTTTCCACACAGACCGCAGTCGTGAGTTCTTCAACAAAAGGACTCGAGCTTGGTTTCACGAGCGTGGAGTTCGCACAACAACGACAGAAGGGGACGTGCCGCAGCAAAACGGTTCTGCCGAGAACACCGTGCGTTGGCTCAAAGCACGAGCGCGAACACTTCTCACCTCTGGCGAGGTTGACTCGTCCTTGTGGCCTTGTGCAATCATGACAGCTACGGCTCAGCAACGGGCGCAACAGCTGGGCATGAAGTCCAAGCTTGCCATCCACTTTGGAGGGAAGTGTTCCGTGAAGCGAAAGTTTTTTAGCAAGAAGGGTGATTTGGAGGATAGATGGGTTGAAGGTAAGTATATGGGGTTGTCACCATCTGTGAATGATGGTCACATCGTGTTGCGCAGCGATGGTGTTGGCAACGGCTTTGAGCAAACACTCCATGTTCGCACCCGCCTTGTTTCTCCGGATCCACCGCCCTTGCAGTTTGTAGGAGACTCGCTTGAGGAGGAGCGCACGCCACCTCCACGCAGGGTTCGCGGCAAGCGGTCTGCTGGTGTGAGACTTGACGATGTCTTTGCACTTGACCCGCCGCCTCCCTTGCCGCCGCCAGCAGAAGCTCCACACCCGGAAGGGCCTGTGTCACCGGTTGAGGAGGAGTCTGCCCGTGTAGCGCGCTTGAGTCTGCAAGACCTTGAAGGTTTAGCTACGGAGCTTATCGAGGACGACTGGGACCTTCATGAAGCGTTGTGGGTGTTAGCCGACGTGTGCAGAGCAGCGCACCAGCTGCAACATAAAGCTGGGTTGTACCGTCACGGAGGTGTCGTAAGAGATTTAGGGGGTACTACAGATAAGCCTTGGCTGACAGAGCTTATGAATATGGTGCTGTCCGCAGTTGCACCCACAGCTGAGTACACCTCGCTTTGGTTGTCTAACTCCACTGTTCAACCATGTTCAACCCGTGCACGCCGACCACCACAACCTGCAGGGATCCACAAATGTAGTCCTCCCTTTGAAGCTCCCGCCTAACGGAGGGGATTTGTGGATAGAACTCAAGCCTGGTGACCTAGTCAGTGGCCCTGTAGAGGAGCGGGTAGACGGCAAAGGCAGGCGCTGGTTAGGGACAACTCACAAGTTAGAGCGCGGTAAGCCCTTCTTCCTAGACCCTACTCGCCGCCACGCCACCACTCCCTGGAAGAGTGAGAGAGCAGTCCTTGTCGGCTACACTGTCAACACGTTAGGCAAAGAGCTTGAGCACGAGTTTCAAAGCCTTGAAGCTTTAGGTTTTCCACTCCCAGCGTCGGTACGTTTACCGCTGATTGAGCAGCAAGACGTGAGACGTCTAGACGCGTTTGACTGCTTCGAAGAAGAGCCCCTTCAGGAGACAACGGCACGTCACCCTGACGGGAAGACTTCTGAGTTAGCGCCCGGACTTTGCTTAAAGGAGGAGGTTGGAAAGAAAAGCCGTAGAAGCAAGTACTGTAGAGCTGGAGGTGTCGTGGAACCTGAAACACTCGCCGGACCAAAGGCGAACCCAGTCTGAGCACGCCCTGCTGGCTTGCCAACCAGACACCGAGACACAGGTTGAGGAGGAGGAGAGCTTAAGCGAAGACTCCTTGCCGGAGCAACCAGTGCTGTGGGAGTTGTGGGTTCCAGACCCGCAGACAGGTCAGCAGCTGTGTGTTCTCAGGTCTGACGACTCGGACGCGAGTGAAGCTTGCACCCTTTGCAAGTCTGAGCCGGTTTACACTACCAACGTGGAGCTTTTGCTTGACGGGTTGCAAGAACCACTGCAGGTAGTCCACACTGTAGACCCTCGGGATGCAGAGCAATGCGTCGAGAAGTGGATGCCGTCCATTCACAAAGAGATCGGTGTCATTGAGAAGGCTGTGCGGCGACTGCCCCCTGCAGAGGTCCGTTCGGGAGGTTGGCTTAGGCGTAAGGAAGTGAAGGTAGTTCCGTCTAAGTTTGTGTTTACAGTCAAGCCACCAGACCCTTCTGAGGGTGACGCTGCCCTCGCTACCCGGAAGGGTCAAGCTTACCACAAACGCAAGGCTCGCTTGGTCGCTTGTGGCAATCACGCCCCCGGCACAGGGTCTGAAGTCTACGCTTCAGGTGCTGCTGCAGAGACACTCCGTTGTTTTGTAATCATCAGCTCCAAGAGGCATTGGTGCATCGGGTCTCTAGATGTCACCTCAGCTTTTCTGTTGACCCCAATCCCGCAATGCAGGGTTTCCAGTGTTTGCTCTCACGCCGCCTAGGTTGCTAGTGAGACTAGGTTTGGCAGAGGAAGGGGAGCTTTGGATCCTCACGCACGCTGTGTACGGGTTGAGGGAGTCGCCTAAGCTTTGGTCGGACTTCAGAGACTGCCAACTTCGGGCGCTGAGGTGTGTTGTTGACGGAGTTGAACTGCAGCTCCAGCAAGGAAGGTTGGACCCAAACTGGTGGCGTGTTGTTCGCACCTCTGACGGGGTAGTCGTAGGAGGGTTGCTCACTTACGTTGACGACTTTTTGCTTGCAGGCAGTAAAGAGGTGATCGAAGCCTTGGCTACGGCCATCCAGGGCATCTGGAAAACGACGCCTCTCGCACTTGCCACCGCAGAGCACCCGCTGAGGTTTTTAGGGGTTGCAATCCTTGTGCAAGGTTCCGGGTTTGTGTTGTCCCAGCAGGCTTACGCCGAAGAGCTGCTGCGTCTCAACGACGTGAAGCCCACTGCACTAGGTAAGGTCCCCTGTCCGCGTGACCTTGTTTCGTTTGACACTCTCCTGACGGACGAGTCCCCAACCGAGGAGACCGTTCGAACAACACAGAGGCTGACTGGAGAAATCCTGTGGCTTAGCCAACGCACTCGGCCTGACTTAGCTTTCACTGCTTGTGTGCTTGCCTCTCTCAGCACGAAGGCGCCGCAACGAGCCATCCGCATTGCAGAGAAAGCCCTTGCGTATGTGCAGCGTACCAAGGCGCTGGCTCTCACCTCTGATGCGGATGACACAGGATTGATCGCGTACAGTGATGCCAGCTATGCGCCGGAAGGGAATCGTTCTCACACGGGGTGGGTGGTTTTCCTTCACGGGTCGCCGGTGTGCTGGCGTTCAGCACGACAGTCTTTTGTCACCCTCAGCACCGCAGAAGCCGAGCTTGTTGCTGGACTTGACGCTGTAGTTGCCCTTCAGTCAGCAGAGGCCATGCTGAGTGAGTTCGGGGTTTCTAGCTTCGACAAGACTTTGAGGGTTGACTCACAGTCTGCACTGGCCATCGCTATTGGCCAAGGGTCTTGGCGAACCCGCCACCTAAGGGTGCCTTCGAGAGCAGTATGAGTCTGGTGAGATCATCCCTGTCTACTGCCCAGGAGTTGAGCAGGCCGCAGATCTTCTGACGAAAGCATTGCCATCTGCGAGGATCCTTGAGCTCGCAGCCATCTGGGGTTTGCGCGAGCATGGCGTACCTCGCCGGGCGGAAGCTCAGGCCTACAGTGAAACTCAAGCTGTGGGCACTGGGACCGTGGCGCAGCAAGACCTGCAGATGAGTACCTTCGCTGTCCTGCTCGCCTTCTTTCAGGTCGCAGGGGCTGCCAGCCAGACAACGGACGAGGAAGAAGACTTGTCTCTCCCCGTGTCGCTTGATGCAGATTTGATGTTGGCAGCATCCATCATCTGCATTGGTATCTGCTTCATTGCAGTGTGGGAGTTCTTCAAGTGGTGCCTTCAAGGCATCATCTCCCGCCGAGAGGCAGGGACACCCGTGTTGTCTCTGAGCCCCCGCAAGGCGCGCAAGTTACAGCGCCTTCGAGATCAAACTGCGCAGGCCATCCAGGCCGAGATCTCTGCACGTGAGGAGGCAGCAAGCTCGCAGTCTGTTGCTGCAGCGCCCAGACGCCGCCCCTCACAAACAACTCGCACGCGTGAGCAGGCAGGTGGAGCACCAACGCGTTACTTTGCAACACCCGAAGGGACCAAGCTCCACCGCACTAAGTCCTGTTCCACGCTCGCCCACTCGCACGGGTTTGTTGAGTTCCAAGTGTGCCAGCAGTGCCACGGGAGCGCTGCAGACCACACCCAGCACAGCACAGGGTAGGAACTACTCCACCCTGACGGGTTGGATCTCTCAGTGAGCTCATCCGTAGCTGTGTCTTTTTCCACACGAGGTGCCTTGAGAGCCCTCGCATAGTGAGGGCAGTTGGCCCAGCTTTTGTCCGGTAGTTCAGAGTAGGTGTGTCGTCACCCTGACGGGTTGGACCTGCAGTAGAAAGTAGGTCGCAACTCCCTGGCGGGGCTGCGAAGGAGGAGTGCTGAAGTGCATGCTTCTTTTGCAGCTCATGCCATGTGTGCATGTCCTTTTTCCTTTTGCTCGTAGGCCAAGCACAGTAGGTCTTGAGCAATGCATTTTAAGCACATCTGCACATTCATAGTTGTAGGTGCCAAGCCCTCGCAAGGTAGCACAGACTTCACGTGTCCTTTCTTGTTCGCTTGCGTGTAAAATCTCCGCCTACTGAGTGAGCCATGGCGGGTTCTGGGGAGTATGGGACAAGGGAATTAGCTACTCCACTTGTGTCTACCTCTCAGCCTGCTGGTTCGCTCCAGCACAAGCACTTATGAGCAATAACGTGGCAGCACCCAAGGACTCAAGAAATTCAAGTGCAAAGCGGACTTAGCAACGTCAGTTACTAACCTCACAATTACCTCTACCTCCTCATCGTGTGATCGCAGCACCCGCCATGTTTGCCCAAGCCGAGGCATGAAAGCAGTATGAAAGCGTACTCTGGATACTCCACGCGCAGCCCTCAGATCCTCATAGCTCTGCCAAAAAGCCCACGCAGGGCCCAGGGTCCTAAGCCAAGAGCGAGATTTCCTTAGATGTCGCTGATGCGTACTGTGATCGTCATAGCAGCTACTAGTTCAGGATAGAGCCCTGAGGGGCTGCAGCCAGTACTATGTCCCGTCAATTCAAGGCCTCGGGGCAACAGCCCCGCGAGTGAAGTGAGCCATGCGGTGTCCGAAACAGTTTGCCTGGCATTGCTTGCTTTTGCCTTTCATTGCTGGTCAAATCTTGCACAGACAGAGACATGTGCGGACAATGACTCGACAATGACTGATCGTTGACAGCAGCTTTCCATTTCAAGTTGATTTCTTGAAAGCTGGTGGCCATGCACTTGCACACGTGCGATGTGCCGGACGGCCCCATCCCCTACAACCACCCTTGCTTGGCATGGGAGCAGGAGCGCTTGCCTGTGTTGATGGCAACGCAAACTAGCACCTCCACCTCGCCAGAAGCTTCTCACTGCTTCCAGATGGCTGGATGGTGTTTGTTTGCGATGATGGCCATCGTAGCAATGGTTCTTGCTTATCGCAACCAGCAGCACCAAAGCAAGATATCCAAGCAAAGGTTGCTCTTGATGGTGTTGGCTTTGCGAGTGACGGAATATGCGGAGGCGTTCGAAACCACATGGCGGGAGAAGCAAGAACAGCAAGAACAGCAGAGAGAGCTTTCGGAACAGCTCGAGTCGTTGGGCGCCGCGTTGGAGTCCGCTAACGCCATCCTTTTCGACCCTGAGAATCCAGAGTCCTTGAGTTGGGAGGGGTTGGCTTCTGCGTGCGAGGAGACTATGCAGCAACGCATGGAAATGCCGTTTCCACAATGGGTGAAGTGGACGGCAGCAGGCAACAATGCAGTGTTTGCGCTACGGACTTGGGGTGGGCTCGTTTGGAGATTTTTGGATCGGGCCATCATCGAAGTGATCGCCTGTGGCAGTTGTGGTGGTGGTCTCGGCAAAAGGCTGATGAAGGATATGTTGGGAAGAGTGACAAAGAGTGTCGGTGTTTTCTACTTCGTTTTGAAGGCTCTTACGGGCTCCGAGAATTTCTGGGGATCTCAAGACTTCGAGCTTTTGGGCCACGAGCCCGACGTAAGCTGGTGGCCAAGCTGCCCAGAACCCGTCCGAAGGGCGCTGCAGCGCTATCGGACGGCATCTTCCGGCTTGCCGACTTACGTCAGGCGCTTCGAGTCCGTCCGGGGCGTGTTGCCCGAAGGCATGGCATGAGAATAACGGCCCAGGCTGGAGGAGGAAGATAGGCTCTGCTTCTGCCTGCAGGGACCTGCGCGAGAGATGGCCCACGAGGTGCCGCCGGTGAGCTCTATCTGCTCTCCGACCTCCCAAAAAGCCCAAAAAGCCCGGCGCCCCCGACATCACCATCTGGCCCTGGCAACAAAGTGATTGCAAAGCTCAGCTTGTGCCAGTCTCAGACCTTGCAACTCTTGATGCAGGAGCCTTCCAGGGCACATGGGCCTCTCTCTCATTCTGAGCTGTTTGATTGGGCAGGGCAGGGGGGAGGTCTGCTGCTGCACACGCTCGGAGGGAAGATTGCGAGGATGCTGTCAGGCAGCAGTCCATGCGAGAAATGAGCGCCGAGAGCTCTCGCATTAAACAGCTGAGCACTGAGCATGTGTCCTTGCTGACAGAAGTAGCAAGGCCAAGGACCTTCGTGAAGTTTGACTTTGCGAGATTTCGATGTACAGGAGATTCTCTAATCCGCCAAAGGAGCTCCGCAGAATGCTGAAAACAGCAAGGCAGGACACAAAAGTGCGCATGCAGGGCCCAATCCCAGCCAATAGATCCCAACTGCGACCACCCTAGCAGGGGATGCTGAGGTCTTTGACTCTTATGATGCACTGGTAGAAAGTTGTCCATAGATTTGTTGTCAGAGCCACAGCCTACCTCGCAAATAAGATTCGCACAGCTGTGGGACAACTTTGCCGAACCTGAAAATGAAATATTCTCAGATGAGCACTTCCAGGCGCGTCGCGCTGAAGCACAAGTATTGAGTCTGACCAAGGCTCTAGTCGTGAGGAGTTCGTGCGAAAACGTTAAATACAAACATGACGGCAACTACTGTCGACAATGGTGATGGTGCTGGGTGATTCGGTGCCGGAGCTGAGGCCGATGGTGGTGGTGGTTGTGGTGCGGTGGTGGCACTGGGGCTGGCGGCGGTGGCGGCGGTGGCGGTGGCGGTAGCGGTGGTGCTGGTGGTGGTGATGGGGTGCGACCATGTTTTGCTCATGTTGACGTGTGTTGTGGAGCTGGCATGCTGGCCAGTGGCAATACCGGCAGTATCTTTTACTGCCTGGCAGTTCAAGACAAGAAGCCGCAGGGCTTCCGGGCTTCGCTTGAAGCCATTTTCGGTTTGCGGCTTGTACTGCCCGCCACTTCTGGAAACACCCAGCGACTGCCATGCCGAGGATTGCAGACCACGTAATTACAACGTAGCTGATCATCGGTTGGCCTCAGGATCTCCTGAAGACGGTCGAGGCCAACGCGCCCGGCTACACCGCAGCTCGTGCGCACCGGAGATGTAGCAGAGTCCGAGGAGAGGAACTGTTTTGTAGTCAGATGTCACGCCGCTTTGGGGTGGGCTTGGGTTGGGCTTGGGTTGGACTTGTTGAGAGAGTGCAAGATGGAATTGGAGCTGAGGAGAAGAAGCGCCTGCTGGACGGCATGAAGGTGGCTTCTTGTTGGGGTGGGGAGTTGAAGCGAGGACTTTCTCATGAAAAGCACGCTCCACAAGCCCAAGCTTGCAGAAGTACCATCTGCAGGAGTGGCGGCAACTTAAAGTGGCTTGCAGAGGACTTCCTGAAAAAGGTTCAGGCTGCCGAGGAGAAGCTGTACATGGCCACTCTGCCTGTCATTGCGAGTGGAGCCAAGGGGCACAGAGGCAAAGTGTTTTGTTTTCATTTCTCTACAGCCAGGTGAAAGCGGTCGGCAAGGTAAAGGGAAAGATGGAAACAGAGGACGGGAGCTGCAGATCCTCACCTTGCCGCCTTGCCTCGTCTTCTCGCGTTGTCCACGTGGCAGGAGCATGAGCTGATCAACAAGTACCACGGCCCACCTTCAGGACAATCACAGCCCGCCCGCATACGCTCTCACCACCATGCGACAACAAGATGGCAGGATGGCTCACACAAAGCATGTAGGGGACTCCGCATCACGGTTCTGTTCGGGAAAGTTGCCTGTCTACGTAAACAATGTCGGAACTTCGATTAATTAACACCCCAAGTTTCGCATGATTCCAATAGAAATCAGAATGTCGCCAATATGCCCGAACCGGAACCCCTAAACCTTGCAGTCTCCTTATATATGCTAAGCAGGATAAGATCCAGCTTCTCACCGGCGCGGTGCAAGCGATGATCGACGAAGGTCGCCTCACCGTCGAGGCCCGCCGAAAGAAGCCTTGTACGACAATGAGATCACGAAGAAGCTGAGGAATGAGGCAAGCAAGAGCAGCAACAGCGCTGCAAAAGTAGCAACGACGACAACATGTGAAGTTTCCGACTTCAGCAATAAGCAAGATTCTGGCAAACTACTAACATGGGCACAGCAGAGAGCGGCATTGCGCGCGTACACAGCTCCGCGCCGGACAGTGCTGAAAATAGTACATGACGGGTCAGCAAGCAACTAGGTGTTGAAGCAAGAGAGAGGAGGGGACCAAATCGCGACAACGAGTGCATCCAGGCAACCGATCTGTTCTGCGCAGTCGCGCACTCGTGGAACTGGGGTTTTCAGTGATGAGCTTCGGGCTTGGCGCGACTTCTGAGTACTGGGTTTGGAGGGAGGCGCTGTTGTAGGTGGGTTTGGGTGATTTAGAGTCTTATACAGGTTACAGTCACCCCTATTATTTTTTTGAATTTAATACTAAACCCTAAACCCGATGGTTTACCCGACGACCTTTCCAAAGCCAGGCGCGGCCGGTCCTCCAGGAGCAGCCGCGCGGCGAACTGCAGCCAAGGCGCCGGGTTTTGGCCTCCAAAGGGGTACTACAATTACTACAAGGGTTACTATAATGCAAGGGCTACTTAAGGGTTCTAGAATATTATGAGTGACCACGGGGGCCACGGCCGTTGTACGTCTCCTCAGAAGAGATTCGGGCAAGGGGCACCGTCAGCGCGTCGGTCTTCCACGCCTTCGGGAGCACGGTGCGCTTTGCGGCCAACTTCCACAGGCTGGACGGCTACAAGTGTGACAGAGATTTGTTTCTGGTTTTAGGAGGAGCGGGGGCAGGTGGCTGTCGACTTGCGAGGCTCAGCACGGCCACGACAATCAACAAGATCGTGCGTTTCTCCTCGATCTCGGCGTGCATGGGCCAGGGAGGATCAGGACTGGCTTGATAAGACCCATGTCTAGCATCCTGCGCCCTCCCGCTTGAAGTGCTAAGAAGCAGTGAAGGACCCGGAAGAGGCGACAGCGGTTTGATGGACGGTACAGCTTTGTGGGAGAGGCCGTCCTGGATCCGCAGCTTCTTCAGACCTTGACTGAGGGTTGACAGCTGACAGATGCGGACAGGCATGAAAGCATCAATCAGTACTCAGCCACCGTGCTCTGGAGAAATCGGTCTACGAAAGGCGCGGGAATGTTGTTGTTGACCGTTGGATCTGGAGCACCAGTTAGTCACTAGATTTTTATCTGAGGCCATCTACGGCTCTCGTGACGTCTTCGCACAGTTCGACCTGGGACAGAAGCTCATCGGACCGGCCGACACCTCCTTTCGCTGTCAGGCCGCCCTGAGCTTCCTTAACATGCCCTTGCTGAGACCGACGGAGTGAGCGACCGCTCGAGGCGGAGCATGTCAGCTGCACGATGATCCTTACTCATCAGCGAGCTGTGTCGGACGACTCGCCGGCTGCCCTGAGCATCGTTTCCACTCTTCCGTAGAGCGAGCGAGCAGGTCCAACAGAGACAAGCCACAGCTTTCCGAGTTGTGGAGGATTGCCGTCTGCAACTCTAGCATACTTCGACCGAGCCAGACGAGGCAACATAACATGGATGCCCATGATCACGCTTTCACGAAACAGTGATTTTGCAGTGGAGGTTGGCAAGCCGTGGAAAATCGGGCTCACATGCTCCCTCCGTGACACCTTTCAAAAAGCGCTGCTTTATGCCATCCAAAAAATGCCATTGCTCCGTTGCTCGCTGGCTTGAGAGTCCCGTGGCCTTCGTCGCGTCGCAGATGTCGCGCCGATTCCTTTGGTTCGCTCTGAGTTTCCTTCGATATTGCTATGTTATTGCAGGTGGTGTAACCTGATTTAGCCTATGATCCAGGTATCCCTGGCAAACAAGCCCTAACGCGGTTTGTATTGTGTCGCCGATGCAGACTTTCATCCATTATCTGTCAACGTGCATGCAAGCAAGAACAAGGACATCTGGCACAACTGGGTTCAGTGGATGCATGAACAGTCGGCAGCATCAAGAGCTGAGCTTTTGCAACAGGCACCCAAGCCTCAAAGTCTGCACGCCGCGGAGCGCATAGCAGGAGACATGGCGACCCCGGGGGCCCATTTGGAGGTCTGACACAGCTTCAAAGACTGTTGGGGTTGGGTACACGTCTCGATTTGAGTGATCTTTGGCTGCATGGAACCTTCCCGGTTGGAGCTAAAGCCTGTGCCATCAATCCAACATCACGGTTGAAGGCCTAGAGTTTGGGGTTTCGCGGTTTAGGAGGCTTGGGGTCCTTCGAATGCCTGGGAGAGAGAGAGAGGAGGCTTGGGGTGAGGGGTTTAGGGGTTTAGAAGGCTTGGGCTTATCAGACTCGGGGTTTCGGGTAAACCCGGAAATCCCATAAGCTCTAAAGCTTAAGTCCTCAAGTTGACTCCGAATGGAACCCCAAGCCCAAAACCTGAAACATTCTCCGACTGCGGGCGTGGCTTTAAATGACTTTGCAGCTTGAATTGGGTTGGCCACTGCTACGAGAACAAACCCTTGACATGTGGACGTTGTTGTGATAGCGATCTACATGGCCTTTCAGCTGAGACTTGTCTTTCAGTAAGTTGACGAAAGCGCCTCACAGCAGCGAAAGGGGTTGTGGGGAGCACTAGCCACCAACCCTGGGTTTTCTAGCAAACCAGGATTGAATACAGCCTCCGAATTTAGGATTGGCAAAGGCTGTGAGGTTGTGGCATACAATCAGGCAGTCATTAGCGAGCCTCCGACCTGCAACATGTACTCGTACAACATTGCACGAGGGCTTCTCAAGACTAGGGCATGATCAATTCGAAACCGTCCACGACGGCTCTCGTGACAGGTGGATAGCTGTAAGCTGATCGTCTTGTCGTGGGCGTTGTAAGACCCGAACATTGCAGCTGGCTGCTCAACGGACGTGCTCTGGACGCAAACCGCAAGTCTTTGGCCTAAGCGTTCACAATTGGAGCATTCCTGATTCCTGCTGCTTCTGGGTCATTGCCGAGGTACGTTGATCGTCCACTTCCGGACCGATTCAGTTCTTAAGGCTCCGCCGACTGTGTGAACCGTCCTGACTGCGCAGAATACAAGCCAAGCAATGCCGGAAGCAGTTGCCGAACGCAAGATTCACTTCAGATGCAACGCTCACGGTGGCAAGAGCCTCTGCCCTGAAGCCCAATTCCATCAAGCACTAAACCTTGCACCCGCGATCAGATGGCTCAGACCACTCTCAGGAATCAGTTTCCCTGGTTCTCCAAGATCGGTGTTGGCCCGCATTTCTCGCATAGCCGCAGCAACTGCCGCGTCATGCCGCAACTGACTTGGTGGAACAATGTTACGCAGCCATTCAAAGCTTGGCTTGGATAGCTCAAGCATTTCCTGCCTGTCACAAACACATTAACGACAACGTTAGTTTGAGTTTCGGTGGTTGCGGCAATGGATTGGTGGACCGACGTCAGCCAGCAGACCAGTGTGGCTCCGATTGCAACTTGTGTTATATACATGATTTGGTGCATGTCGCTTTCACGGCATCGGTTGGACCACAGAATTGCATTCAATGTTAGTCGCTGCTGCTGAAGCTATGTTGCGGTCGCGTATGCAGATGTTTTGCCATTAGTTTCGGCTTCAGCGCTGCAACAGGCCGCTGCGGAGCTCTTTGCGACCTTCGCACTTGATACGATCCGCGATCTGGGAGAGAGGCTAACTTGCCAGGTGCATCAGATCCTCAACCTGAGGTATTGGTATCTTTGACAGCTGATTGATGCTTGGGCAGGCATGTGCCTCTACATCCGATGAGGCGGGTGTCTTAACTTCTGTCTTGTGCGCAAGAAGTCGCTCCACCCCGAAGCCAGGTTCTTTGTGAAGCAGAATCTGCTACAGCCGAAGAACCAACGTGGACGCAGCCCCAGCTTCCATCTACGGATATCATTTTCGTGTGGCTGTTTCAGCACAGCTTTTGAAATTGGCATCAGGGGCACGGCGCTGTTCGGCCCTTATTCATGCTGGTCACGAACAACAGCTTGAACATCTTGATGGAACATGGACACATGGTCATTCTCATTACCACATGCGGGTGGGAAACTGAGGTGCCCGGACAGTCTGGCGAAGACGGACGAATGGCAGGTTGTCGGCTCCCTGTGCTTGGGCAGCAGCTTCTTATCCTTTCCTCAAATTACGCAGCCCCAATACAGCCGAGCTCCTTCTTCCTGCCTCCGATGCTGTGGGTAGCAATTGCTGACATCGTTTTTTGGACATGGCTGTGGCCAAATGCAATAGGGATGAAATAGGGTATGCTAGGGGTTGGAGTGGAGCCGACACTTGATTGTAAGGCTGCTCATGGACACTTCTCCGCTTCTTCCCGCGCCTTTGGTTGGACATGGAACAGATTGTCGCCGGTTTGTCCGGATGGCCTTGTCTTCGGCGGCTGACAGCTTAGGTTTCTCAATTTGCTTCGGTTCGGACTGCCTGTCGCCAGACAGCACAAGCGAAAGCTTTTCGGGAGGTACTCCAGCTGGAAAGGCGCAGTGTGTCAAATCCAGTCATGTGCTGCCATGCTCCTTTGCAGACAGACAGACATTCCATGAAGGCCGAGCGCGCTGAAAGCACAACAGTCAGCAGAGCAGCTCCTGCAGTATCAGAGCACGCAGGAGTACGCATGTGAGCACATCAGTCATGCTCAGATGCTTCGTAGTATGGTTGAACCAGCACTATGCGAGCTTCTGGAAAGTGGAGAAGCCCATTTTAACCTTGGCTTCCGCTGGACGATGGAGGCAGCTGAGGCAGCCACATCAGCCTTGCAAAATGCAAGGCTGATGATGGCGCGTTTGTAAAGAAACTTGTCCACGGGGTTTCTGAAGAGATCGTTGCCGGCTTGCCCATCTAACGCTGCTCAAACACATGTGGTCAGGACTGCATTTCACAACATGGACGGCTGATCATAAGGAAGCTAATTTCTCTTAGCAACATCGTCAGGCGTGGTGCTTGGGATCGGGTGGCTTTTGGGGCAGCCGAGCTGTTGATACTGTTGCACTTACAGGCTTCCACCCCGTGTTGGTTTTGCTGTTCGCAAGGGTTTGTGAAGTTCAAAGGACTGTGCGGATGACAATGAATAAAGCTTCATGTCTACATTGGGATTATCGTGAAGGTGTACGCGGCGTGCCGTCAAGTGTGGCCCAATCAGAGAGTCAGACGAGGCCCCCCCCCCAGCAGCCATGGAGCCAAAGTTTCAAGCACTCTACGATGCCCAAAGTGACAATATGTGCGCTGTGCTGATCCGTCATTTTGTTCGATGTTCCGCTTCTGTTCTTTCTCCCCTATCTAGATGCTCGATGCACAAATTTCTTGTCACAGGTACGGCCCATGCTTGATTGCCATCATGGCTGGACGACTGGCGGGCAATCTCTGCCGCTTGCTATTCTTCATCGTGTGCCTTACCCTTGGCGTGATGTTTGCGCTCTTCAACATCATCTACTTCAGCATTTATTGTGTGGTCTTCAGTTTATGCAGTTGCTTCGGTGTCTTGGTGGCCAGCGCATCTTAAGATTGAGATTGGTGTTGTCCAGGTAATCAATATGCAAAGCACAAATTTCACCGACAATCCTATTCCGCTCAGGGATTAACCTCGAGTCGGATGCCGCGGCGGACTCCACCGACGAGCCAAGCACAGTTACAAGTAACATAGATGCACCAGGGTCACCAGACGCCGGGAGCGACCCGGCATGACCCGGCATGAATGGAGGATGAAGCAGTTGCAGCGCCAATGCGCCGAATAGAAAATGCACTGCGTTGCGAGAGTTGCATTGTGATTGGCAACAGAGCTTCCCACATCTCGCCTTTGCACACCCATGTGCAGAATGTAGACTGGTCCTGCCGCGAGCCCCCGCGAACCCCCGCGAACCCGTGGACCCGGAACCGTATGTTTGTTTGTCTATTTTTCTGGTTTTATTCTGTATATTTTTCTAGCTTTTGGCTGACGACAGAGGGCAAACACAGGCACACAGAGAGGACAGAAAGAAAGAAAGCAATAAAGGAATAAACAAAGAACCAAGAAAGAACGAAAAACGGAAAGAAATAACGAAATAAAGAAAGAAAACAACACAGAAAAAAACGAAGAACGAACGAACGACTAAAGAGAGACATAAAGAAAGAAATAACTCAACCAATAAAGAAAGTAACATCAAAGAGAAAAATTGAGCAGAGACATCAGGAAAGAATGAAAAACGAAGAAAGACTGAATTCAAGAAGGAAGGAAAGAAATAAATCAAACACATAAAGACACAACACAAGAAATAAACGTACCGAAAGCCAAGAAGAAGCAAAAAAATACAAAGAAAGAAAGCAATTAAGAAGAACGAAAGAATCAAGACACACCGAAAGGGGAATACCGACAAAATCCAAGACAGAGAGAAGGAAAGATTTCAAGAAATCATGAACCAGTTGCAAACCACGCACGTACACCTGCGTGCTAAAATCCATGGGAGTGCCGGTTATGTACACGTGTGCGCGGAAAGCAACGTCATGTCTGCAGGGCCAAGCTGGACGGTGCCTTGTTGCTGTCAGCGGAGGCGGCGAAGGCCTGAGATTGCGACTGCTTTATTCCCGGCATGTTTCTGTGACAGTGTAAACGCTTAGCACGGTCCGGTTTAAACCTCAACATGGGTCCCAGGACCTTTGTTCTACTATGGTATCATGTCCCTGCAAGCCGCACTATCTGTTCGAAACGGCTGCAAATTGGCTGCAGGTAATCTCCTTGGCTGATACGCCAGGCAACCGCATTGAGATCTCCGGCACAACTGACGCTTACGTTGCTTGGCATTTGCTTCAGATCCCTCGCCGCATTCGCTGGGGTCGCCGATCCACGCTCCAGGTGCTTTATTCATTGCTTGCCGCATTGCGCACACCGTGAGTGCCTGCGTTTGTTTGATTTCGCAACCGTGGGAGGATTGGAACTTGCCGCCCCGTTGCCTCGAGTGAACTTGGTGCACGTCCTCAGAAGTAGAACGTGTGCTCAGATTGGTTTTGTCATGTGCACCGGGTCAGGATGTCATTTGTGTGCCACAAGCTGCTCCGCAAGCTGCCGTGGCATGGTTACACTGGTGCCATTGATGACCAATTGTGGCATTGTCGCATATTGACAAGGTCTTGTGCGTTGTTCTGGCTGTGGCCAGGACATGCCTACGCCTACGATCCAAGTCTCGGAGGCAACGCCATTTGCTGCATTCCATGGTTGACTGTAGCCGTGCCTGTGTTTGCACGGCCAGGAACTGCCTGGTGAGCTCCAGACTGAAGAGGCGTTCTCAGTTGCTGCGTGCCATGGTTTGGGCGTTGCCTGGAACGTATCTGCTGGACCAGGACATCGATTGGGCAATCGCCGGCGAAGTAGCAAGTTCCGCTTGCTCCGTGCTCAGTCGCGACGAGAAGCAGCTTCCATGCACATGGAATTTCGAGTTTCAGCTGAAGCACGATTGTGAAGGTTTCTCCCTGTTGGATTTCTTCTTGCCGTTCAACACCTGAGCGCTTTGCGCAGCTGCAGCCTGCCGGCCTCCAAGAAGGCAGCACCCTCGATGCATCGACAGCGAAACACGTGTGCCGGATTCAGTTCCTGGTTACCCCAGCTACATCGAGCTTTTTCACCCGCATTCGGGTTGTGCAACCTGGACATGGATTTGTGCGCTGCATCTTTGACGCCTCAAGCAAGGTGCATTGTGCATCCGATTTAAGTTCGAGTGCTGAAACTCATCCCTGATTACAGCTTTTGCCATGGCCATGACGCTGCAACAGAAGAAAGCCTTCCTGAAGTACTTGCAGGAGAAGCGAAAGCAGCGCGAAGAGGACCGATGGCGACCAGCTTCGATTGGGATGTTCTCAAATGCATTTGATGTCCTGATCGACAGGCGCGGCGGCAACAGGTCGGACGGGATGGTTTGAGTAAAGCCTTTTCCAGTTGCTTCGGATCGGCACTTAAAGTGCCAGGTGCAGGCTGCTTGCAGCCTTATCCAATCCTGGGCCGCAACCTCGAAAGTCAGCAGCTGTTCCAACCTGCGTCCAGAGCAAACCGGTGATGTTTTCGTGCAAAAGCTCCCAGGTCACGGATGCATCAAACTATTGGACGTGTGGATGGTACAGCTTTTGCTGTGATCCGGTGCAACTCTCAGATTTCTGTTGATTACTTTATGATGGAGTAGTCGCTTTGCGCAGGATAAACGCTGTCCAAGGCAACTCATGTGCACGATGATGACGTGGTGGTGCCCTGAGGCTGGCCGTGATTCCTTAATCTGTACAACTTTAAAGGTTTGGCGGCACCAGCATTAGGTTCGTCGCAAGGCAGTAAAGATCCCTATCTCTTTTGATAAACCTTCTTTGTGCGACTATGCAGCGATGTGGCAGTGCGAAGCCAGTGCTGAAACTCGCGACAGAAGCCTCCTTTCGCTAGGAGTGCCTGAAGCACGGCGCGGCCGCGGTCGGGATGGCCATCAGCGAAGAGAGTCGCTGCGTCACCTCCAAGGATCCTTTTTCTCGCGGATGGTGATGTTGAAGACCGCAGAGATCCCCCTGCTTGTAACATCAGGACAAGGTGGCTGATGCCCTTCAGAAGAGCTACCGCCTTCTGCGGCAGAAGTTGGACTTCCCTCCCAAGGAGAGATGGAGATCAAAAGCCCTTCAGCGAGTAGCAACAGCAGACTCAACGGGCCTACAGGCCTGTTCCATCCCCTTCTCCAGGACATCATCTTGGATTGCCCCCTCCAGAGCTTGCGACTCGACGAGCATCCTGCAGCGCCGCGGACCGAAGAGCTCCTCCATCAAATCTGCATCGTCTTGAGCTCACGGTGTGATCTCGGCCATCGCAGAGGTCAGGCGTACCTGCCCGCATGCCAGCGTGGTTGCACACCATCTTCCTTCAGCATGTCATTCCGAAAGGACCGGGGGCAAGGGGCTTGAAGGGGCAAGACCGGAAGGTTCAATGCCCATGCATGGTTCTGTGGAGAGGTCTCAACGTGGCCCTGGTCGACGCCGGCAGCCTCCCGCTGTACACAAGGAGACGCGGCAGCGCTGCGAAGACGCTGGCTGGAGCCTGGGCTGCTAGATTGGTAAGTCCACGGAAAGGGGGGATCTGGACGTCGAAAGATGGAAGAACTTGCATCTTGCCGAGGTGATCCTGAACAGCGGCAAGGTTTTTGCCGTCCTCGAGCGCTTCATGGAAGCGACGCCGGCCTCGTTGAAGTCACGGGATCCTATGTCTCGTGGTTCTCAGTGACCTCAGGGAGAAGGCGGCTTCAGTGCTGGTGAAGCAGCGTCCTCCACGTCCTCCACAACCTGCCAGACCCAGAGCCCGCAGCTTACCCATGCTGTGGAGATTCTGGCACAGGCGTCTGCGGCCGTTGTACGTCTCCTCAGAAGAGATTCGGGCAAGGGGCACCGTCAGCGCGTCGGTCTTCCACGCCTTCTGGAGCACGGTGCGCTTTGCGGCCAACTTCCACAGGCTGGACGGCTACAAGTATGACAGAGATTCCTGGACAACACCTGGCATCACTCGCTGTCAGTCCGCCCTGGGCTTCCTTGAACATGCTGCTCAGCCTGCTAAGCTCTCCTCTCGGACTTGTGAGTTTGAGTCCGCAGCCAGCAGGCCGGGGTGGCGGCTTGTCGAGCCGCAAGACCTTTCTGGACAACTGAGCCCCTCGGTCTTGGAGATGGCAGCGAAAGGTACTTCTGAGACCCAGTGACTGGACGAGGCGGAGGATGTGAGTTGCACGATGATCTATGCTCATCAGCGAGCTGTGTCGGCAGCCTGCAGGTCGTACATGTGCAAAGCCTCTGTGCAAGACAGGCAAGCAAAGAAGCAAAACAAGCGAGAACTGCAAGTAGCTTCAGCCTGACAAAATGGACCGGACTATGTACTTCACTCTATACACTTCACTGTATGCACTTGACTTCATGTACTTGCTCTTATGCACTGATTTCTTGACTCTATGCACTTCATTGTATGCAGTTGACTTCATGTACTTGAGTTTATGCACTGATCCGAGATCTCTAAAAACATGGAGTGAAGTAAGCAGAGCGAAGTACATAGACTGAAGTACATAACGTCAAGTACATCCACATCCGCAGTATTATGTACTTGATGTCTATATGCACTTCACTTTATGACTCTACGATTCCATGCACTGGTTTCTATAAGGTCGCGCAAATCTCTTTGTTAATGATGCTTTCGGGCCAGCTCTCTTCTAGTTATTTAAACTGCATGCAAATACTTGTCATCAAACTTAACTGCTAGAGGTGGAAATCTGGTTGCTGATTTGCTGAAGGTTGCTGCCGGGAGGATGTCCAACACAGCGATGGAAGCATTTTTGACTTCAAGCCCCGTTGACTTCCAGCCTTGAGGAATCTTGGCCCGGCCATGAACTCGTTGGTTTTCTGCCTGTTGCTCGAGAGCGTCCGTGGTGCTAGCCTCGGAAATGTCTCGAACATGGATGCCCGGCGGTTGAGCAGCTACTCTCGCTGTGACTCCAGCACAAGCAGTAGCTGCGGATCAATTTGCAGCTGGGTTGGAGATGGAAACTTTCCCGGGTGGTGTGGCAGGCGAAGGTCACCTGCTTGTACTGGTTCTACCATGGCATGTCAAACCAAGGGATGCGCAGTTTCTGGGTACAGGAATTATTGCTGCAACAAGGACACGCACACAACGAGGCAATGCGAATGCAGCAACTCTTGCGATTCAGGTTCTGCAGCCAAGACGCATCGACGGCGAAGAATCTCATGCGGCAGCAGCTACTGCTCGTTCTCTGACTGTTGCGAGACACTCCCAAGTTGCTCGATTTCCAACTGTTGGGGCCGCTATGTGGAAAAGAGCCATCGGCGCCGTCGGATCACCTGCGACGCAGGCAGCTGTTCGACAACGACCTGCTGCGATGAGACTTGCGATGGCTTCGACTCATGCGCTTCTGATGAGGAGGTGCCAGACCCTGCATTTGTTTGTAGAAGCGCTCAGTGCACGCGCTCAGAGTGCTGCCGTGCAAAGCCCACAACACCCACAACCACAACGCCTTCTTTGAGGTGCAGCAGTGACGCTGATTGTAGGAGCGCCACCATGTTGATAGATGGTATGGAAGTGGATGCCAATCATTGTGATGACCTCAAGAAGCTATGTGTCCCACGGACAGAGAGTTTCTTTCTCAGCAGCTTGGCTTCATGGCAACTTGCCGTGAGCACGGCTCCATTGCCGGGTGCGGTTGCCACGCAATCTTTCGAGTATTCAACAAGCGTTGCTACGACCGAGGCACGAAGCCTGTCGAGTTCACAGACCCGAGAACTGGTGTCAACAGTTTCCGAGTCCACAAGTTTTCTGCTGCAAACATCTGTCCATGAAAATGCGCAGAACTGTGTGACCAACATCCAGGAGCAAGTGAAGGACTGTCCGCCGGGAATCGGAGAGACGATCGGCAATGCGTTGTCTGAGGGTCTCCAAACCATCATTGACAAGAAGACGCTGGGCTTGTCTAGCGTCGCTAAGGACGTCATGGAGCCCCTTGCCCGGGCTGGGGGAGAGTTGGTCGGCAATGCTGTTGGCGCCTTTCTGGGAGATGACTGCACGCCCACAACAGTCTCAGAGCAGGTCAGCCAGTGCCTCGAGACAGGAACCTCAGAGACCAGGAGCAGTGAAGAGACGATGGCACGCCAACAAGCGCGTGGCTTGGCTTTGCAAGAATTGACAAAGATAGCCACCAGCGTAACCTCAGAGCAACGCACCACATGCTCGGTGACTGCTCCTGTTGGTGTCGCTCTTTGGCAACTTGAGCTCCATACGCCAGCTGCCAAAGCCACAAACACTGCTATTGCTCGCTTATGCGTGTTTTGCATGTCATGGGGCGCTCGGCCTACAGACCCACCGGGCTACGGTGGTTGTGGCTTCTCGCCGCCTTGTCGCGAAACACTAATGTTTTGCCCTGGCGGTGGCACATTGGCTCTTCCCAACATGCAGCATGCCCACACGCAGCTTGGCTTGAAAAGATTTCGGTAGGGAACATCAGATGCTGTTGTTGCAGTACGATTTTTTGTGCAGACGCTGCGCCCTTACCTGTGCATGTTACAAAAGCTGAGGCACCAATCGGTGTTGAATTGCTCTGATGGCCAGAAGGCAATCGCAAAATGCTTTCAAGGGCAGTTCGAGGTGCAATTTCAGCCGATCGGCAGCGTCGCTGCCAAGACGGAGGTTGTAAATGAACGTCTGCCGCCCATGGTTGTGATCTCCAGGGCGCCAAAGACGGCCGAGCAACCTGTGGGGAATGAGCAGCAGAACGATGAGCCACAGACTGGAGGGAGCAGTCCCGAGCAACCTGTGGGGAATGAGCAGCAGAACGATGAGCCACAGACTGGAGGGAGCAGTCAGGAGGTTGAAGAGGAAACGGAAGTGAACCAGGGCCATTTTCATTCAAACGCTGCATTCTTCAGCCTGTTAGCGTTTGGTTTCTTCTCAATCTAACGCAAGCATCCATCAAGTGGATCATGCTTTTTTCCCAAGATTGAGCCCCGAAGGTGGCAAGAGCCAATCATTTCATTACAGTTCGTCGCGGTGGCGGAAGCCCCAGACTCTAGACTTCTTGACGACTGATGCATTGCCACATCAAAATCGCTGAGTTTGCTTTGGGCCCAGCCTCATCCAGATCAGGAATGACGTCTTCATTCGAGACCGCTTCATTTGAAAGCTCACTCTGCCACTCCCAGTGGCATTTCTAACGGCTCGAAGGAGCTAACTGCCATAGGAAGTGGGTGCAGGCACAGGTCTACAGCCTTTTTTTTTCACTGTGCTGCTGTTGAAGCAAATTGTGCTGGCTGTATGTTGCATAGAAAAAGCACTCACAGCGTTAACAGCCGCAACAGGCACAGTGGGTCTCTTCTCGTGTTCATTGCATGTCTGGTCAATCCTGTTTGCGCATCAAGCACGTGAGCAAGTGTCACTTTTTTGCAAGACACCGTCCAGCTGAAGCGCCATGGCAGCCACTAGTTTGGAAGATGCTTTGAGCCGCCTGGATGCAAGCATCGTCTATTCTTGGGCTTCATTCCCTGATTTCGGAGTGGGAATCCTGAGAGGGGCTCCCTTGCCAGAAATTTTAGGTTTCGTCCTATGACAGGTTTCCTACCAAGAAGTCGATGATGATGGCGTGGCAAAGTTGACCCAGGCCCTGAAGCCTCGCACTTGGCTAGCCTTGCAACTGGTTTCGCCGCACGGGTGGGGATGTGCAGGTGACCTAGGACCAACCACACCATTGTCGACATTTACCTCGACGACAACAAAATCACGGACCTTCCTGGCAGCATGTATCAGGAGCTTGTATAGTAGCATCAAAAAAGCAGACGCGGCAGAGGACAAGCTGATGGAGTGCCTCCCGGTCCGAAGCAGGCATGGGCAGATTCAGTGGTGGAGGGATCTGTTGCGAGTTGGAAGGTGAAGAAGACATGGATGTGGGTATTCCTCAATATAACCCCTATACAACCCCTTAAGGGGGCCCTATATAATCCCCTTATAATCCCTCTATACCCTTTGGGTTCCCTAAGGCCCCCCTTTTTGAGAAACTCCCATGTTACTACATGGACACAGCAGTTCAGTGCTTTCAGGCGCTTGTGGCAAGCTCGCTGAACCTGCTGGACCTGCGGGAGAATCGGGCCAGGGAGCCTAAGTCATCCTCGCACTACAGCAATGATCAGAGTACTATTCGACAGAACAGTAATAAGAGTAATAGCAACAGCAGTAATGATAGGACCAGCAATTTAGCAACAAAGCCATCCAGCGATGGTCTTGTTTGTTCTACAGCTTGAGCTGTCAGGGTGTGCTCCTGTTCTTTGAGGTTTCGGACGCAGGCGCTACAGCCCTGGCAGAGGTTTCCCTGGAGCACATGTAAATGGGCTGTTCTCAAGATTATGGGCCTCCTTTTGGATGATATTCCGGCACCTACCATTTAGGGGTACCAAATTGGGGCCCTAATTTTGGGAACTATCCAAATAGATACAACGAGAGGCTTTCCTGCAATGAGGCATTGGAAGATGGGAGCCAGCTTCGGTTTCTGCTGCTCAAGGCCTTGCTTTGATTGCTTTGTGTCTCAGGTTGAATCTCTAATCAGACTCTAACCCTAATCCCTGAAAGCCCTAAACCCTAAATCTCTTTCCCTGCAGAAGGACAATGAGATCACTGATGATGGCGCTCAAAGATTAGCTGCCGCAGTGAAGAAGTGTGGGGAGGCGGGGTGAGTCAGCCTCACAGTCTTGTCGACACCCGGGGACAGTCAGGATGGGCCCCTTCAGCAGCTGGACTTGGACAGCAATCGCATCACCGCCAAGGGCAGCGTCTACCTGAAAGAGGCTTCCATCCTAACAGCTTGAGCGAGCTGCCTAAGCCATAAGACCTTGGCAAGGTAAAGGAGTCCCTGAAGAAGGAGATCCAGTTTGGCTACCAGAAGAGCCAGAGCCTCAGAAGCACCGCCCATTCTACCACTGGCAAGCATGCAGGTTCCGCCCCTAGGCTCAGAGTGGGACCATCTACAGTTCTCAGCATGCCATCACTCTTCGCTTGACACAGGACGGTCCACTTTGAGTCGACCCTTGCGCATGCGAGGTCCCTGAACCGTCGCCTCAAGAGCGCATTCCAGTAACCAGCCGTACCGCCCACATCGCGACACCCAGTACTGGTAGAGGAATTCCAACGTAGCAGCACGTAAGCAGTGGAAAAGGAACATGGACCTGCTCGTTTCAAAAGGTTGCAACCGTGAAGCGGCCGTGACTATGACAACAAGAATGACCTCAGTGAAAGGGCTGCACGGGGTTGAGGTTCGCTTGCAGAGGCTCTCACCGAGCGGTTAACGCCTCGTTTGGTTTCCAGCCCTGTCACTTTTTTGCTTCAACTACCAATCACGCCAGCCAACAGAGACACGTAGTCAAGTGCCGACCATTCTGAGTGCCACGAGCTGCTAAGGTAAAGCCAGAGAACAACATCGCGGAGTTATTGACAGTCACAGCAAGGCAGGGAAGATTCCTGCCAGCTTGTCTCGTGCTTGTGAGCTGAGCTGCCAGAGCAGTGCTTGCTGAAGCAGGATGGCGTGTTCGCGGCCAGATAGATTGCAGATGGCTGATTGCTGTCACAGACAAAATCCGCATTGCTGCGGGTTTCTGATGCAGGCATAGGCCCAATACTGTCCCAATACCTTCAGAACTTCAGCATTCTGCCACTGCCCAGCACAATTTGCGGGGATGGAGGGGTACATTGGTTTGTTATTTAAACTGCATGCAAATACTTGTCATCAAACTTAACTGCTAGAGGTGGAAATCTGGTTGCTGATTGCTGAAGGTTGCTATTGAAGTCCCTGGTTGGCGCGCTGCGGTACTTGTGGCGGAGCAGCCCCGCAGGGGCTCACCCTCGAGTGACCGAGCCACTCCGAGGCTGCCCTGAGCGCCGTTTCCACTCTGCTGTAGAGCGAGGGAACAGGTCCGACAGAGACAAGCCACAGCTTTCCGAGTCGTGGAGGACTACCGTCTGTAACTCTAGCACACTTGGACCGCTCAAGATACCGCAACATGGATGCCCATGATCACGCTTTCACGAAACAGTGATTATGCAGTGGAGGCTTGGCAAGCTGTAGACTGTAGACAATCGGACTCACATGCTCCCTCCGTGACAGCTTTGACAGCGCTGCTTCATGCCATCCAAAAGGCCATTGCACCGTTGCTCCCTGGCTTGAGGGTCCGGTTGCCTTCGTCGCGTCGCAGATGTCGCGCCGATTCAAGCTTTTGTTCACTCATCGTTTCCTTTGATATTGCCAGGTGGCATGTAACATGATATAGCCAAAGATCCAAAAATACCTCGCAAACAAACCCTGATCCGGCTTGTAAGGCATCGCCGATGCAGACGTTCACCGATTATCGCCATTATCTGTCAAGGTGCATGCAAGGCGAGGTGGACGCGTCCGTCGGAGTGATTCTGTTTGAGTTTCTGTTTTTCAGTTTTCGAGTGCCTTTATCCGAAAACTATTTTCTCCGATTTATGTCAACGTGGGCCTTGTGCGTAAATAGGTATTTTCATGACTGTCGTTTATGCTTGCATGAGTGTTCATGAAGAGTTTATGACTGCTTATTTTCCTTGTGCAATCATGTTGGGAGGCCGGTGTAGTTACACGTGCGAAAACTTTCTTTTACCCACCCTCACACCCCTGGGGGGACGTAATGAGGTTGCGGAATGCATCTTAAATGCATCTTCAAGCTGCAGTGCCCTAAACCCTAAACCCTGAACCCTGAACCCTAAACCCTAAACCCTAACAGATTCTCGGCTACGACCTGGCAGAGATCCTTCACAACGGTGCAGAGGACGCGTGCCCAAGTGTGGAGTGCCTATTTAGCTTGCCGCATTCAGAGATTCGCCGCGACAAGTCTCGTGTGCAATTTACCATAGTTCACTCTTACGACTACGTGCCAATGCTTGCGAACGCTGTGCACGTATTTCGTCTCAACTCCTTAACCTCCAGACCCCCAACCTCCAAACGAGAACCCTTCTGCTTCGCATTCGGGAAAATACGTTGGCAAGCGCTTGGAGCAGCTATTATCCTTGGTCCTACGTGATTGATTCTTAGCTGAATAGCAATGACTTTGCGAAGATTCTTGCTGGCAGCGCGGACTTGTCATCGGCTTGTCTTGGTCGAGTGTCCAGCGCATCTACAACGGAGTGATGCCTGAGTTTTCGGGTGGATGTCGGCTCAGCTCCCCACTCCGGCGCGTTGGTAGCTAGCGCTGAAACAGGGACAGCGTCGGTGTGGGATGATGTTGCTGTGTGGAAATGCTTTGCGCGGACTGGTCAGCCCTGTTTGTGCATGAAGGGTCAACGGCAGTTTGAGACCGAATGAGAAACTGTTCAGAATCTGGCTGTAATGGAGGACATCCGTGAAGCAGCTCGCGCCATGAGCTTGGGCAGTGATGCGTTTCAGCATCTGGGTGCTTTTCACATGCTGTTTCCTTGCCAGGTTGCACTTCGGCAGAGCCAGAAGATGGAGAAGGCCAAAGCGAAGATGCTTACCAGTGCGTGGTTGCCATCGCGTTATGGTTGTGTAGTATCGTGTTGATGTTCATGTACGCAGCGCCCATTCAACTCGTGCCTTTGTGGCTCCGAGCTGGGCAGCATGCCGGCAGCAGATCTGTTGGATCGTGGTATCAAGCCCTGTTGAGAAGGTGCTCAATTTCTGTTTTAGAGCCAGGTACAGGGCACGACTGACCCCTTTAAAACCAGGAAAGCGGGCCTGTTGGTGATTGGCAATGGCCAAGTCGACGCATGTGGACAACTATACCCCAAGAGATTTCCTGACTGTGTTCTGCGCGCCTTGACCTCAGTCTGTTCCGAACCTGCTTGCTCTTCATCATGCGTTGTTGTGATGTCTTGTTGAGGCGATTGGGGCGGTGGAATGAGCAGGCAGATGCGGGGCAGCAGAAGAGACTGCCAGAGCTACAACGACGTAGCCTTCGCACACAGCATGGTGAAACATGGATGGTTAGCGTGCTTTTCGATGGAAAAGTTTTTTCATCAGGGCAGGAGCAGAATTGTGCATCTGCGGAGAAAGTTGCTTGTGCTCTGTTTCAATCCGACGCATCCACTCGCGAGATATGGACTTTCGGGCGTTCAAAGCTTCATTTTGCGGTGTGCCAAAACTTGCCTAGGATTGCGGAATCCGAGACGCTACGGGGTGCAATTTGAGAGCCCCTTCCATGGCTGCTCCATCTTGAAGCCACACTTTCTCGAAATCCCGGACGCATGAATCCGAAACCTTGCTCACCTCGATAGCCATGTGCCCCATACTCTGGGGCAAAGGCTACTTGCTCCAACCCAAAATGTTTACGAACACACGCTTTAAACTTAACACAGGTTTTTCAGCCAACGCATATTCCCCTACTTTCAAGAGACATCCCTGTTGCCGAGGGATGTTCCTCTGAGACTTGCATCTTGGCGCAGAAACATCTGGGATTCGAAGTTTGTTCGTTTTACTTGTGCGTTCCGTCGTAGCCATCGCGGACTGATAATGGCGCTGCCAAGAAAAGACGTGGAGCGCACAAAGCAGCCCGGTGGGCGCTGAAGCAAGCCGGCAGCCGAGCATGCAGGGTAATCTTGAATTGTGACGTTTCAATGTGAAACGTTGGGCGCAAGGTGCAGCCAGTACTCGCAGAACTCGCCGCGGAGAACTGCAAGTTGCGTGAGCAGAACGCGGCGTCTCCTTGACCAGCTTCGCTTCTTGGAGCAGCTGGACTAGGGCTAGGGCCAAAGAAGGCAAAGCCATGCATTAAAGAAGCCCTCAGCCGTAAACTCAACCGCAGATTCAATGCATGGCTTTGCGGGCCCCCAGTCGCATGCTTGGGATCTCGAGGTGCGACTTTAAGTTAGAAAAACAGTCTCTGCGAATTTTTGCAGTTTCATGTTTCTTTCGTCATTGCAAGTCACCGGCCGTCGTCTTGACCTAACCTGTGCTTGCGGGCTGGACACGGGGTAGCTGGTTGCGGAGAAGATGAAAGCAGCTTGAAACTGGAAGAGTACGTCCGGCGTTCCGCTGGCCTGGGTTGGTCTGGTGATGGTCTGTAACAGTCATCGGTTCTGCTGGGGATCTGGGCTGGGGGGAGAAGGGGTCACATGGAGTGAAATGGAGGCAAAGTGTTCACGGGACACATGACCTTTGCGAGCGTGTTATGCTTGCTAACTTTGCGATGTACGTGATTCAGTGTCTTGCTGCTTGCTGCACGAACGAAGCACCATTTGCCAAGTACACCGACATCACCCGCGAAAATCTGGCAGAAGCCCAGAACATCGGGGCGATTATCGGCAACGAGGCCGGATCTGGGAGCAATTCGAAGCGCTTGATTTCCATACTTCCTGATTTTGCCAGGTCCGGCGCCATCTGGATGACATGGAGGTCGCTGGGCGCGGGCATGTTTTGCTTACAGCCTGGACCCAAGACTTTGATCAGGCGATCTTCCAAGATGGTTTAAGTACAGCATGCCTTGAGTCCATGTGCGCATGACGGATTCGATGATTCGTGTCAGCATTCGGGTTGGTTACTCTCGTAAGGTTTGGGATTCGAGGCTTGCAGCACGCCCTGAACTATCACGTGTGTTGGTACTTTATGAGTTTTGTCCACGGCCTAACATCGAGCTGGTTTCGCTAGGCGAAATGACCGTGATGCACTTGCAGGAAGACTCACAAGGCTTAGGCCTCTGGAACGACCAGGAAGCACCCCGCAAAATCTGAGAAAGACAACGGGGTCCTGGCAGGACTCCTAGCTGCAATCGTTTTTTCATTTATGCTCATGTCACAACTTGTTGAACAAAGACGCGAGAGAGAGAGAGAGAGAGAGAGAGAGAGAGAGAGAGAGAGAGAGAGAGAGAGAGAGAGAGAGAGAGAGAGAGAGGGAGAGAGAGGGGGAGAGAGAGCCCAAAGCCCCAACTGTTTTGAATGCAAGGGTTCTGCAGATTGGTTGTTTCCGTATCATTGAGGTGTACTGCCTGCTTCGTACAAATCCGCCCATTGACGGGGATCCTATGTCGAATCATCAGCTCGCCTCCCTCACACTCTCAGGCTCCTCTCGCCTGAATATAAGCGCAATGTAAGCTGAGTGATGCGATCTGTGTTGCCACGCCTAAACAAAGCGTTGGAAGCCATGTAGGAAAGAGTCTCCAAATCTGCCGCCGCAAGAATACACTACCTCTCACTACCTATCCGCGGCACCCCCTTGTACTGAAGCAACTGGAACCTGGCACGGTGGTCTGAAACAACCCAGCCGCAAATAATCAATGAATCAGTCAATCAAACCAAAAAATGAAGATCGTCGGTGTCCTAAACCACAAACCCCGACCGGCGTGGGGTTCTTCGCGAGTTCCCGATGATTTGCCCTTATTTGTTTCGTACATATGGAATGCCACGATGTGCCACAATCAATCTCCAAGTCGGGTGCAAGACGGGCTCCTGTGCCGGATCAGGCCTTCAAAACCCATGGGCAACCCGTTGGCAAGACTCGGAACCCAGCGGAAGCACCAAAACGCTCGAAACAGCTGCTTGGCAGTTTTTTGGTCCTGCGAGGGGGGGGGTAACATTCTGTTAGTGCAGATCTATCTACCTCATGCCCCAGCTCAAACAGCCCCAGCCGAATGCCTCGGCCTATTTGCTGGCTGCCCGGCCTGTCCTGGTTTGAAGCTGATTGCACCAGCCGTATCGCTGCATCGTGCGCGTGAGACATTTCCGGAGACAGTTGAGAAGTTTCACACTGCTGCAAGATCCTCGCGCGTCATGCTGAGTTTCAGGGACGCATGGCTCATGTCCTCCCGATCCTGACTCGAACTGGCTTTTCCCGAAGCCCTTTGTGAATTTTTTTGCCGGAGCAGTTGGATCAAATTATAGAAAGGGGGATCGACAGTCCAACTGTCATGGCTTGTCGCAGCCTCAGCTCACGAGTGTGCGGGTTGCCGAGCTTTTCCTATTAGATGTGCTGTCAGACCTGCCTCCGCCATTTGCTGCTCGACCAGCCGGACACCCAGCTTCCAGTATCAGACCGAGTTGGGCTTGAAACATGATGCCATCCAGGCAACACCTGTGTTTCCAGCGAGCGCCTATGGCACATGGCACACTGTGCCCTCAGGCAGGACTTTGGGAATTCAAGGGAACTGGACAAGTCATGGGATGGAGCGACTTGAAGCGATTTGTCTAATTTGCATGGCGCGTTGACTTGCACCAGCGCCCAGCTTTGAGAAGTAAATCAAGACAGATTTGGATTTCGGGCATCCTTTGATTCCCTATCTCTCGCGCTACGTGTGGGCTGCAGCGCACTTTGGACACCTTACTATTTCTCGAACTTCGAAGGTAGCTCCTCTCCAATATCCTCAGAATGTGCATGTGAACTCACGGGTCTGGAGCTCAACTGCCTCAGGGAGGGGTATATAGGCGGACGGATCAATGGGCAAGCGTTTTTGATTTAGACGTTACGGCAGCTACAGATTTCTCCAACTTCTGAGGAGCTGGCTATCCAAGAAGCTTTGGCTAGGAGTGCCCAAGCTGCCTCAGGGGTCTGGAGCTCAACTGCTTAAGGGAGGGGTGGTGGTAGGTGGACACGGCAGTGCGCAAGCGATGTTGATTCTAAGCGGCAGCTGTTTCCGAACAGGTTCCTGTCCAGTACCCGTTGACTCAGCATGGCCACGCGACCTCAGGGGTCTGGAGCTCAACTGCTTAAGCAGGGTATAGGTGGACAGGGCGGCGGGCAAACGATCTTTCGTAAGATTCTAAGCGGCTCGTAGTTTCCAGAGGTGGCTACCATGAGAAGCGTGGCTCAAAGCGCCCATGCTACTGCAGGAGTCTGGAGCTCAACAGCCTGAGGGAGGGGTGGTCGTAGGTGGGCACGTCAGCAGGCAAGCAAGTTTGATTAAGATCCGAAGCGGCATCATGTTTGCAAGTTTGGAAACCCTGAGAAGCACAGCTGTGCCAGCCAGGGATCTGTCGTCCCTGGCGTACGATGGACGTGTTTGTTCCATACTTGGCAGAGGCCAAAGATGTTAAGGAGAGCCGGCTGACAGTGAGAGAAAATTGACACCGAAACTGCATTGGTGCAACTGGGCTTTGCGTGAGTCGGGCTGTTTGCCGCATGGCGCCCACGTATGGATACATGGTGACACATGAGCAAGACCCTGCGCAAAAGCGCGAAAGTGGCGGCGTGGGATGCTCGAAGATTTCTGGGCCAGAGCTTCCTGCACTGGTATGCCCGGGCATTGATGGGCGCGCACTCTGCACTCCAAGGGCTTCTTGAGGCTTCGGCGGCTGCGGAGCCCGAGGGTATCAGAAGGTGCCTGCCCTCAGAAGTTGGAAAGCGCCCCTCTGGATAGATCTCAACCAACCAATCGACATGGGAACCATCAAATCAAGTATGCCAACGTACACCCCAAAGAGTGAAAGACCACGGGGACACGAAAGAGCACTCCAAAGCGCTAAAAGTAACTACACCCGTGCACCAAGAGCAGCTTGAGCATTGGAACAGTATTCTTCAGGACAGCTCCGAGCACCCCAAGAGCCCAGCAAGAACACTTGAAGGACTACTTCATGGGGACACGGAACATTCCGCACTCCAAGCGCTCCAGACGACATCCTTGTGCGCATCTAAAACATCTTAATGAGACCTACCCGAAGAACCCTCCAATAGGCCCCGCCCCAAGACGCCCCCGAGAGCACTTCACTCATACAAATCTCGACCTCCAAGCAACTGGAGCTCAAGTCCTCAGCCCATGTCTCTACTGCAACAGTCGACAGCCACAGGGCCACGAGAGCTTGCGCTACGAAAGTCGACTCGAGACCAGAGCTCCAGATGTTCTCCGTCGGCCCATCTCGCCATGGAAAACGTCCGACGCCACGAATTCTGGCACTCGGAGGCACCGATCGCTCGAGAGGCTCAGAGGACTCTCAGCTGCGCCTTCGGAATGATGAGAGCTCGAACATCATCGCGCCCTTCGAATTTTGCAGACAGCACCCCCTAACTGGCGGAAACTTGGAATCGTCGATCTGCACAGCTGGCACAGCGCGCGAAAATCGATGCTCGGAGGAGCCGAAAGTATTGCGCCTACCATTGAACACCAGCTGTGGGAGATGCCAAGAACTGCAGCTCCGGGCCTTTGGCACTGGTGACGAGTGCATTTTTTCTCGACAGCGTGAGCAATCCTCGAGCGAAAACTGCAGAACCTTCCGCAGGCGGGAAAACCTTCTAGTGCTAACACACTGCGGGGGGAAGAAAAGACTGGCAGCCTCGGCTGTCCGCAAGTGGTAGAGCCAATAGGCGAGGAAGATGCAAAGGAGCTCGCGCATACCTGAAATTGATTTTGGTGGCACGTGCACTCTGGTAGTCTGGTAGCCCAAGCTTCAAGGATGTCCTTTCCGAGGGACTCATTTGCCGAGCTTTGCACTTGCCAACGGGCAGCTTCAGGCCATCAATGGACATGCACGGCCCTGCCCTTTACGCCCGTGGCCCAGTTGTCCTCCCTCGCCCACTGGCGGTGAGGGGTTTTGGTCGTGACTTCTCGGTGAAGACTTCCCGGAACTTGCTTGAGGCGACGCAACAGGCCAA